GGTCCCCCCAAGGCTCTAGTGTTACACCGACGTAATTTATTACATACCATAGTCATATGGCTGATTTTATACCAGGTGCAATGTTCTTCTTCTTTGCAGATGATCTTGCAGCAGTTCTGACCAGTCAAATAGGAATCAGATTTAAAGATCAATGCATAGATGTGGAACTCCGCTTACATACTTTGTCTGAGAAAAACTTGAATTCTATGCAATACTAGCTGTACAACCGATTAATTATTCTAAAACACAAGCCATGTTCTCAGCATGAGCGGTTAGTTATCCGAATCCTCTACCTCAAGTGCATTGTGGTGACCACAAAGTGGAATGGATCACCTCATTTAAGTACTTGATGTATTGGGTTTCGACGAGAGCTAGGTTGGGGAAAGATCATTAACAAGGTGAAGCTCATTGTTCGTCAACGAACTGCCTTAGTGAACTCTTTCAGAATAAGTGGCACATCATCTACATATTTCAGACGTGTTCTCTTTTCTACATTCGTTCTACCACATTTCACATGGTTATTTTGGATATTCCCATTATTTGATGAATCACAGCGTACAAGTCTTGATCATCTGTATTTCACTCTTTTAAAGCGTGCATGTCGTTGTCAGTGTTGGGAGGATTTAATATTTTCATCAATCTATAATGAAAAACATCTATATGATCATTGTTATGCATTCTGGGAAACATTTAAAAGCTCTGGATAAGTCCAAAGATGATTACTTATTATGGGAACAATCCGAACTGAACGAATATGCATAGATCCAAATGGCAAGAGGGTGACAGTTCGATCTGCTACCTTAGAAGATCAAAAAGATTCGTATCAGATAGGAATGTTCTAGAACAAGCAATAACTTAGATCGCAACTCATGGGACATCAGATTCAGTCATCCACTACGGTCCATAGTAAGAGTACACCGGTTATAGTATTAGCCAAACTGGATAGTTGTATGTCGAGGGCTCCTGCTTGATGAAGAAAAAATATTAGAAAAGAGAGAAAACGAATCTCATTGCTGATTTTTTTATGATATTAAATGTATCTTACGTTGACAGTCAACACACAACTCATTGCTTGTTCAAGTTTCTATCTCGGTCCAGGCGAAACAATATCAGACAGAGTTGACAAAAACAGAAAATTCCGTCAGCATTGGCGCTTTCAAGTTATACTAAAACTTTGTATCGTGTGAGAACAGTTGAAACGGATAATAAATGAATATTGTCCTTCGTTCATTCGGTATTTTGGATACGCTCGAGTTCGACAGAGTGTTGCCATGCAATGACTAATGGAAGTCGAAACATTTATGGTAGACGTCTCTCGCTGTCAATTGTTGAACCGAAACATTATTAATTTTACTTACTTTAGCTAGCTAACTACAATAAGTTCTTCATGGTATTTATGATGTTTGTGGTATTCAAATTTTTCTGTTCTATCAATATACCCATGGGAAAATTGTTTTTACGCCTGTGCTACCATAGGAAACGCTGCGAAACATTAACGGACTATGCATCAAACCTCTCGCTAATGAAAAATCCAATCTGTCCTAACAAAAATCTCTGCTATTTTCGTTCTATAGAGAAAAAGAGCCAAATACTCAGCGTGCTTTTGACGCGTATGAGTTTTTACCAAAGTTTGAATTCTTTCTCAATTTTTCAGAAATTTCCTATGTTCAGGAGACAAGTAGTGAATATTTCTCACTGTAAAACAGTCTTTCTTATATGACAGCAAATTGTTGGATGAATGAAAGTAAAAATTGGATAGTGATTCTATTGGTTCTAACCACACATAAGATGTGCTAGTTTTTTATCTTAACTAAATCTTTCAGCCTTGATACTGTCATCGGTAGTCCTGTTGATTTCATGAAATGTTCGACAATGTGAAAAATATACAAAAAAAAATATTTAAAAGAAATAATAACTTGTTCTATAGTCTATAAATATATATGTTTGAGAAAGATCAAATAAACAATAATAAATCGAAAAGTTTCATTCTCTATGACAAGTGTAGCTATTTTCTGATTGATACGCGAATACAGCCAATAGAATCAAAGGTTTATGTAATCAGCTGTTTGTTATTTGTACTATGGAAATAGTCAGCTAGTTATTTAACGAAGTGAAAGCAAAAAAAGACAATCATTATTTTCTCAATAACACAATTCTGGTTCAATATTTTTACATAATCGCACGACAACAAAATACTCAAATTCATTGCTTTCTTTTCTGTTATTTTTAGTTACTCAATAGCCCTTCACTATCCCGTTATAATTCTGACGTTCCTATATTTGTGAATGTCAAAAACCAGTGATAAAAATTCATCGATTCGCTTGAAGCGGGATCATCCTAATAGTTCATTAGACGAACCTATTTCATCGACAAAATCTCCATCACCACCAATAAAAAAGTTAAAAAATCAGCATACCACAGACCGGATGGATAAAGATACACGAAATCGTTATCCAAATGGTTCATCATCAGCTTTCATTTCATCAAATACAACGAAAAAGCTTATCATAAAAAATTTAAAAAGTTCGTAAACAAATAATCGACTAAATGGAATATGTTGTCTATTCTTTCCTTTTAGTTTCATCACTTGTGTTACCAGCAGATTATTTTGATAAAATATGGCCATTACTTAAAGAAGCATTAGCAGCAATACTTAATGGTACAACAAGTCCAACCAATGAAGAACAACTCTATCGTCATATCGACCATCTATGTACAACATCAACAAGTGACACTAGTACTTCGCCACCTAGTCTTTTGTATGATAATTTAAGAAAAGTACTTGATGAACATATTCAAACATTTGTGCCTACTTTACTGAAGTAATTTTCTTAGAGAAGTTCGCTGTTTTGTTTTTATAAAATCAGTCTATCTTTAGTGATGCAAATGACACTAATGATTACCTTCGAACACTTAATTCAATTTGGAATGATCATATTATACGATCAGTAGGGTGTAAATGATTTCAATATCGAATCATTTTCTTTTCGTATATTTATTTTAGAGTTTGATTCGTCAATTATTCATTGTATTGGATCGAACCTATGTTTTACATGCAGCTGTACAGAGTATATGGTATTTAACTATCTAATTTGGAAAATATTTATTTTATTTATTTTGCTATTAAGGGAACTTAATCAAGATTTATTTCGTCGTTATGTTATGCAAAATACAACTATTTCGAATAGGTAAAATAAAGCCATTGAAAATAATTTGAAGGTTATATTTTTCTGATTTAGATGTATCAATGGTCTTCTTAAATTAATTGAACAAGAAAGAAGAGGTGAAACTATTGATCGAACATTAATTAAAAATCTTATTCGAATGTTAATTGATCTTCATGTAAGTTTTTATAGTAGAAACCTATTGTTATGTAATCCATTCGTCAATATCACCGAAAGGAAAAGTAAACAAAGTTGGTCATCATAGGAGTTTAGTCACGTTCTCGTTTAATAATCTTTCAATCTCGGACTATCTCTTTTTCTAATAAACCATATTATTTGATATTGAAATGATTTTGTTATCACCGGTTTACTTATCATCTCGTTTACCTACAGAATCAACCAATCTTTCAGGGAACGAGTTTCAAAAAAGGGCAATTTCAGTGATTGATCAAGAGGGAAAAGACATTAGGTTTTAAATCTTACGGGAAATTTTCTTTTAATTTTAGCTTTATCGAAAAGATTTTGAACCGCCATTTTTAAAATCTACTGAAGAACTTTACCGTAATGAAGGTCGTCAATTAATTCAAACATTAGAAACTAGTCAATATCTTATTCAAGTTGAACGTCGTCTACGCGAAGAACAAACTCGACTAACACATTATATTGATCAATCAACAAAGTAAAAACAAAACTGAATCTTTCTTTTTCTTTATCAACTTTCTTTTTTAGAGTTCAACTTATTCATATTGTTGAAAATAATTTAATTACACTGCATATAAAAGATATACTTGCAAAAGGTTTCGATATACTAGTGAATGAAAATCGTTTTACATCAGTTGCATTGATTTATGATTTATTTTTTCGAATCGGTCAAATCGGAATTAATGATCTTCGTGAAGCATTTGCAAATTATATCAAAGTAAGAAAAATCCAAGAAAGTCGATTATTGATAAACACCTAATCTCTACTTTATATTGAACCCCGATACAATCAACTGTTCCTGATCTACCCGTTTCTGATTCCTATAAGAAAAATACTATTTGGACAAAAACAAATCATCTAATATTTTGAATCAGTTTCAAACGTTTCTGTGAATATTCTCATGGAGCCAATCACAAAAGTAGCATTCTCATCGTTTAGCAATTTACTGAAGTTTTGGAACATAGTTAAATGAGATGTATTTTTTGATCCAATCTTGATGAGTGTCAAAGAGAAATTTCTCAATGAAAACCTTTGATATTGGTTTTGTATATTGTATTAGGATTTTCAAGACGCTGAAAATCATTATGAAGCTATATAAATTCTAGTCTTCGAATTAGTAGATTTGACGAGTTTTGTGATCTGTAACAACAGTTGTATATAATAAGCATCTGTTATTTTTTATTTTTAAGAAATATGGTCGTGCACTTATAATCGATGCTGATAAGGATGATAAAATGGTTGATGAATTACTTGATTTTAAAGAAAAATTAGATCGTTTTCTTCATGAATGTTTTCATGATAATGAAAAATTCTCCAATACACTTAAAGATTCATTTGAACATTTTATGAATCAACGTGTAAATAAGCCAGCTGAATTAATTGGTATGTTAATTTTAATAGATTTTGCCATTTCGATATTCTTCTATTTCCGTTTTATTCTAGCCAAAGCTGTTGATGCACGTTTACGTTCTGGAAATAAAGAAGCATCCGAAGAAGAATTAGAAAAAATTCTCGATAAACTACTAATTTTATTTCGTTTTATTCATGGAAAAGATGTATTTGAAGCATTCTATAAAAAAGATTTAGCTAAACGTTTATTAGTTGGAAAAAGTGCTTCTGTCGATGCAGAAAAATCTATGTTGCTCAAACTTAAACAAGGTTAGAAAAGGTTTACTTTTGGATTTATCAATAGATTCTTTTTGAAATAGAATGTGGCAATGTATTTACCAGTAAACTTGAAGGCATGTTTAAAGATATGGAACTATCCAAAGATATTATGACAGCATTTGAACAAGTAAGACATTTGATAGGTTATATTTATGTTAGATAGTGTTGCATTAAATACTAGACAGGCGGGAATGAAATAAACAATCGAAAGTTTTCGTAGGAAAACTTGAATCTCTATTTTTCTAAATAAATAGTTTTTAATAGAAAACAGAAAAAATCTCAAACCATAAAAATTCAATTATTTTACTTTTTTAATACATACCTAAAAGTTATTATAATTCATTGTTTTTGAATTTAGCATATGCATGGTCGTGAAGTTCCCGGCAATATAACTACATTTGTTTCTGTGTTAACAATGGGCTTTTGGCCAACATATCCAACAGTTAGTGCCATTCTACCGCCTGAGGTAAGTCGTTTTCGTTCTTTATTATCTTAGTTATTTATTCGAAAACATATTCATTTTAGCTCTGTAAATTACAAGAAATTTTTACGAAGTTTTATTTAAGTAAACATACTGGAAGAAAGCTTCAATGGCAATATTCATTAGATCATTGCTTATTAAAAGGATGGCTGAAAGAAAAGGTTTGCATCTTTTAGAAATCAGCGCATACGAAGACAAAATGTTTTCCTGTAATTTGTAGACAGTCAAAGAATTTCAAGTATCACTTTATCAAGCACTTGTTCTTCTACTTTTCAATAAACATCTGGATCTTAGTTACAAAGATGTTCAAGAACATACGAAAATCCGTTCGTAAACCTTTGGAATCTTTTTTTCGTTCTATTTATAAGAGCGTTTCGTTTTTGTAGAAGACGCAGATCTGCAACGAACCTTACTATCATTAGCGTGTGGAAAAATTCGTTTGTTAAATAAAAAACCAATGGTAAAGCTCAACGTTCATTGATTTGTTCGTTTTTTATAGGCCTATTTTTTATTTTTAGAATAAAGATGTAAATACAGATGATAGATTTACATTAAATACATCTTTTGAGCATAAATTAATACGAATAAAAATCAATCAAGTACAATTGAAAGAAACGGTTCGTAGAAAACAATTCATTTTATTTGTTCTCTGTCATAGAAGATCTCTCCCGTTTTGGTTTTTTTAGCCTGAAGAAAATACTTCAACAACTGAACGTGTCGTGCAAGATCGTCATTATCAAATTGATGCAGCTGTTGTTAGAATAATGAAAACGCGTAAAACACTTGCACATGCCCAATTGATGTCTGAAGTTTTCGCTCAATTAAAATTTCCAATATCTGTATGTATAAATGCGAATGATTTTTATTTGCATTTCGGTTATTTGTTTTCCTTCCTTGTTTAGACTGCACTAGTTAAAATACGAATTGAAAGTTTACTTGAACGTGAATACATGAAACGATCAGCAGACAATGCCAATGTATACGAATATGTTGCATAAAGATAAATGTATACATTTATATTTTATTAAGTTTCTATATCAAGTCATTTCTTCTACATATATTTTTTTTGTCTTGTCGTGCTTTTTTGTTTATCATTCTTTTTCTCAAATAACTATGTGCTTATAAAAAGCGATGAAACCGATTTTTTTGCTATTAAATAAAATCAGTCTGTATAACGAAAAAGTCCTGTTAATATGATTTTATTCTCAAATTATTCAATGGCACATTAAAGTAATAGTCGAAGGGTGGTATCAATTATTTTTAATGAAGGATTAACTAAATGTATATATGACAGAAAGCTGAAGGACATTACCATTCTTCGTATCTTATCAAACAGCAAATATATGTTTTCTATCACTGGATGATGAGAAGAATTGTCGCAATTCATACGACTATTTCTTTTCTCAATCTCAAATAACTCCCTGGACTATGGATAAATGAAGATTTCATTAAATGTTTTTTGCTTCTCGAAATTTTCATTGTATTGTTTGTAAGGTAACTGTGCAATACAGCAACTTATAATTCATAGAATTTTAAATTAAACACTCATGAGTGATAAATAATCTCATTCGGTTAGTTTGGAATATACGTATGTAAAAAGATCTTGAATAAGCTGTTCTTAACAACAACAAAAAAAATAGAAAACAACTTAAAATTAATCTAAAAAAAACGATTTTCTCACTCCAGTTTAATTCGATTTATATATCAATGAGTCAACATTCTATTTGTATTCACGCTTGATAAACGTCATGATATCAAACGAATAATGTAACACAGTGTTCAATGTATGTGTTGTGAAGCGTAACGAACTACTGATGATTATAAAGCAAAAAAATAACTTGCACTAGCCGGGAATCGGACCCGGGTCGCCCGCGTGGCAGGCGAGCATTCTACCACTGAACCACCAGTGCTATTTATCAGCCTGCTCCGAATACAGTTTTCATCATACAGCAAAATCAACATGAAAAAATATTTTTGTGTGCAAATGAAACCGAACAAGAATCATACAGGTTGTAAGTAAAAGTAAAAGAAAACAATCCATCAATAGAAAATAGATTTTTGAAAAAAGTTGAACCAAGGAAAATAATGGAAAAGAAGTGATACACATTTCCTTTGACATTCTTTATGTTGAACCATTTTTAGTAATATCAAAAAAAGCATCATCTTGATCATTGCAATTCTTTTTCCAAATTAATAATGCCACACATACTGTATTGTTAAATTAAATCCCCGAAAAAAAAATTTTATACTTCGATTAAGCGTTGTGTAATATATTTTTTCTAAATCGAGAGTGTCGTAATAAAAAGATCAAGTAATGACTCAATTAAATATAAATTAATAATTCTTCAATACTAACACATACGATTGTATTTATATATGTAAGAAAAAAAATTATAGTATTAATTCTTCTTCAGGATTATCAAAGAGAACAAAACAAAAAGATGCACTAGCCGGGAATCGGACCCGGGTCGCCCGCGTGGCAGGCGAGCATTCTACCACTGAACCACCAGTGCTTGACTCTCTCTCGTTCGTTCTTTAACTGTTTCTATCATAGTAATATTAACACTCAATTTTTACTATTTGATTTCAGTATGAAGTTTGTTTAAAAGACACTTGAATACATCAGCCCACCTCGAGTGCCACTTCAGTAAAACCATTTGTAAGTGACATGTACTCTCAAACGTAAGAAATAACTTTGCCAAAACTATTTTACATAGTAAACTAATTGGTACATTATACTGATTACTCTTGACATTATCTAAAGCCTTTTTCTTTGCACTTGTGTATATTATATTGCCAAATAAAAATAGATTTAATTTTTGTGCGATCGTGAGCTACTTCAGGTTGTGGTTGTGAAAGGATAGAAACTTGCATTTATGTTTATCTTTCTACAAACGTGCACCGCAGTGTCTCGACATCTATTCCTTTGTTGATGCGATTTATCCACTACTTCCCAGAAACAGTTAGTGCAATGTATTCTGAAGAAGAAGAAGGTATTCAAAGAGTTAATCAAAAACATGAATATCAGAACTCATAAATGTAAACTAGAACCAATTGCGCACTGATGGTTCAATGGTAGAATGCTCGCCTCCCACGCGGGTGACCCGGGTTCGATTCCCGGTCAGTGCACACGGTTTCTCTTTTGCCATTTTTTTTTCTTCCATGCAAAACTTATGTTTATAGTTTAAGAAATTTATTTATACTATAAGAAAAATAACGCTTTCTATTGTTGATGCGCCACTCTCATAGCTCGAGCAAGTTCTTCTAAATTCGATTCTAAAAATTTGGCTTCATCATCACGTCCGGCTAGTTTCGCTTGTTGCATATATTGTGTTACTTGATAGTATTGTTGAATAAATGGTTTTAATTCTTCTGATAATTCTAGTACATTACAATTAATTCCTGGAATAGTTAAAATTACTTTTGCCATCAATTCATTATCTGATCGCTGTTTTGCGTCACGCGCTTGTTTTATCTCATCTTCAGTTGGCAGTCGTCTAGTTGATAAAGAGAAATTCTGTAACAGTTGTATCGCATACATGCGAATATTACGACAAAGTGTAGCGTAACGAGCTTTTGATGAAATATCATTTTCATCTATGTTTGGACATTTATCCGCGAAAGCAACAAATTTTTTCCTAAAAAATCTAATAATGAATTGAATCATCTAAATTAAAATAACATACGATACTGAATCGATTTTTTCATAGCTAACACTCAGCTGTCGATATACTTGTTGAGCGTCTTTGATTTGATATTTTGTATTTCCACTCCTGTTCAACATGAAATTGAAATTGATTCTAGAGTGTTGAGTGTTGAATCAAATAGAATTACTTACAAGATCGAATCGATAATGGCAACATATGTTGATTGAAATTGAGTGTACTCCTTTCTTGCTTGAATAATATTCTAAAGAAATTTATTATAATCATAAGTTGAATTTCTATGAATAGATTCACTTCATAATAATGAAATATTTCATCTTTTGGAATGTTCTTGAAAAATATTTGACGATAACAATTTTGTAAACATCTTGCACAAGACATACAAATACGAAGATGATCTTCATTTGATGCATTATTGATAATTGTTGATGATGTTACCGTTTTTAGATTCATCAGTTGTTGAATTGTAGAACTATTATTGGTGGTTAACGTGGATGATGTATTCGAATCAATAATACGTCCTAATAATTAAATAATATCAAAAAGAAAGAGTCTTATTACGGCTGCATTTTTAAAGCAATGAACTCAAATATGTTACTGTCACCTGTAGTATACCAGCAAACGTTGGATCCGAGAAGTATAACTAACAGAATAATTTTGTCGCATAAATTCTTTATGACTATAGGAGGTCTCAACATAATAATTTAATAGAGTAGCTGATGGTTTCTACGTTGACCTGGTAACGAGTATAGCATCGCAATCCATTACGAACTGTAATCAACGAATATCTTGAACATAATTACAAGAACTGCTCTACTCAGCACATCCTAGTGACCTTTTTATTATTTCCTTTCAGTACCTTTTCCTAATTAGTAACTAATTCGCTACCGACTTTCTCATATTACGCTTACGAGCTGTGGAAAATAAAATAAACTGTGAACATTGATTACAAATAACCAATCCGTCTAGTCGACAATGATGTTTTCGTCTAGAGAAACCAAATAATGCTGAACATGAACTACAAATTGATACCACAGAATCTTCCATCCATGGAATAATACTTTGTTCGTATTCTATGAAAAACAATAGTTTAGAAATTCAATTACATGGCTAAAAAGTGAATTTCAACTGTTATACTTCGACGTTCTTTCGTATTTCCATTGGGTGGTGTGTGTTCATTGATATCTGTTAATAGTTCCAAGCGAAGTAAAAGTTGTTGCGTTTTAGTATATATTTCATGGAGTTTATCTTTTCGTACAATTTGAAAATAAGCATAATGTGAACGAGTAAATCCCATGTATTGTTTTTTTGAATAATAATCATGTGGATCAAATGAAAAGTATTGTGAATACATTTTCGATGGTTCATTAGAATTTTGAAAGTTATCTTGAACACTTTTTAATTTTTGTTTTGCAAATGAAAACAAACCTTAAAATAATCAGCCTTATTAAACTGAGATTTATCTGAGGCAGATCAATAAGTTTGCACTAACGTTTAACAGTGAAATGTGATATTAGCGAAGACGACCAGATTTAGAGTGGGCACCGGCAAAAATCTTTCCTTCTGTCAACGAAATCTGCAAGGCTTGTTTGTATGAAACCCCTAAAAAAAGACTCAATAGGATCTCTAATTAGAATTCGAAGACGTTTTTTTTTCACTATGATGGTTTTCTTCCCCAAAATCTACCACTGATAATAAACATTAGAAATACTTTTAATTCAGACCGACTGATAATTTATTTACTCTGTCTGCATTACTCATAGTTGATACAAGTTCAAAGAGCAATGAAATACCTTTGATAATAGTTGAAGATTGTTTCATATGTACATTTTGAAAATGTATTTGTAACATTTCCAGATTTCCCATGTCTTGATGACATTGTGGACAAAGAAAGCCTTCCCGTGTATCGCCTATAGTTTGTAACATACTGTAAAATAGTATGGCTACTTATAGTTGTGCTCTCTTATCATCAAAAGCAGTAGCACGATCTAGCAAATCTTATCTGGGCAGTATTGTCACCAACGACATCTGCGTACGAAAAATAAATAAATAAAAGTAAGTTTATTCTAAATTCCGAACAATTTAATAATTTCTAATATATATATTCCAGAATTCTAAGATGTGATTATAGCCTAATAATTTTATCAAGGAATCCAATTGAATTTCATTAGTTACCTTGTTTATATCTGCGTCAATCGATATGTGTTGCTTAGTCTTTTATCTTAAATCATGAAAGATCTTAGTTCGATTGTTTTGTTTCGTTGATTGTTGTGAGGTCAACTCGTCGAAAAGATCTTATTTTTACTAGACTAAATAATTTATTTGCAGTTTTCAGATCAAAATTTTCTTCTAAAATCAAAAAAAAAACAAACAAAAACATGCAACCCATGATAATTATTCTCAAAGATGGTACTGATTCGGCCCAAGGCAAATCTCAAGTTTTATCAAATATAAGCGCATGTCAAGCTGTTGCTGAAGCTATCCGTACAACATTAGGTCCACGGGGTATGGATAAATTAATAGTTGACAATCGTGGTAAAGCAACGATATCAAATGATGGTGCCACCATTCTTAAACTCCTTGAAGTTATTCATCCAGCAGCGCGTACACTTGTTGATATCGCTAAATCTCAAGATGCTGAAGTTGGTGATGGTACAACATCCGTTGTTTTACTAACAGGAGAATTATTAAAAAATGCAAGAACATTTATCGAAGACGGAATGCATCCAACTATTATTATTCGTGCTATAAGAAAAGCGACAGCATTAGCGATCAAGAAAATAAAAGAAATCGCTGTTAATGTTAAAGCCGATGATGCTAAGTAAGAGTTGAATATTGTTAAGTTTTAAAAACTTTTAAAAGTATGTCCTTTCTAGAGAACATCGAGCTTTACTTGAAAAATGTGCTCAAACAACATTAAGTTCAAAATTGATCGCCCGACAACGGGAATTTTTTTCAAAAATGGTTGTTGATGCTGTTCTTATGTTAGATGAATTACTTCCATTGAATATGTATGTAATTCTTTCAGCTATTGTTATAGTGAAAATAGAAAGCAATTTTTTTCTCTAGGATTGGTATTAAAAAAGTTACAGGCGGATCACTTGAAGTAAGAAGAGAAATTATTTAATTAGAATAGAAATAATTTCTTTGATCTCTTTTGTTTTAGGAATCACGTATTGTTGCTGGCGTTGCATTTAAGAAAACATTTTCCTATGCTGGTTTTGAAATGCAACAAAAAAAACTTTTAAAACCTAAAATAGCCTTACTTAATATTGAACTTGAATTGAAAGCTGAACGTGATAATGCCGAAATTCGTCTTGACAACGTTACTGTAATATGATTGCTTTTAATCATTATTATTGAACCTATTAAAATTTCTTTTTATGTAGGAATATCAAAAAATTGTTGATGCTGAATGGTCAATTCTTTATAGTAAACTTGATAAGTTGCATAAAGCTGGTGTTAAAGTTGTTCTTTCAAAATTACCTATTGGTGATGTTGCTACTCAGTATTTTGCTGATCGGTAAAAGCTTCTTTTTTTGAAAAATTTTCACAAAAGCGTTTGTTATCTTAGTTAAAAATTGAATTTAAAAGGTCGACAGAAGTATAGTTTACAGCATCTTATCTTGCTATCGCAGCTTTTGATTTTACTCATGATAGGGATAGAGATATGCTTTTTGAAAAATATTGCGCCTATTCCAAAGTGTTCATTATCAGAATATCATAGTTCGAATAGTATTGAATTCGATCGTTATTACATCCTTCCTATTGTTGTGTAATACTTTTAACTGTGTTTTTTTTTGCGAAGAGAGTCGTTTTGCAAGTGATAAATCGATATTTTGAACTCGAATGAAGAAGACACATCTTGTCAAATACAATTAGCATATTACTATGAAGATTTTTCACTTTTAGGGTATCTCTTGAAACTGATTTTCAAACGTTGACTCGAAATTTTACAATAGGAAATAGGCCTCCATCAATATAACTAAGGGCGAAAACTTCAAGCCTATTTTTCTAGAGGAAACCATACCACAAAAAACACCACTTCTGCAACAATAAACTAATTATTAGCTTTGCTAACATTTTCCTATCTCACCGAGAATATCTGATAAATATTTATAGCGATATACGAGGTTCAATTTTTTTACGGTTTCGATGGTTTTTAGGTTATTCTACTCTCGAGGTCAACATTTAGTTTCCCTATTAACTTGAAGATAATCTATCTAATCATGACAAACACCTATATGCGTATTCTAAGTATATAAATATTAATAGGGACATGTTTTGTGCTGGTCGTGTACAAGAAGATGATCTTAGACGTACACAAAAAGCTTGTGGTGGTGCGATAATAACAACAGTTGAAAATCTTGAGGATCAATCTCAACAAGTCTTAGGCACATGTGAAGTTTTCGAAGAAATGCAAATTGGTTCTGAACGTTACAATCTATTTTCTGGCTGTCCTAAAGCTAAAACAGCGACAATGATTTTACGTGGTGGTGCTGAACAATTTATTGATGAAGTTGAACGTTCTTTACACGATGCTATTATGATTGTACGACGTGCTGTTAAAAATGATTCGATTGTTGCTGGCGGTGGTGCTATCGAAATGGCTTTAAGTCGTACATTACGCGACTACAGTCGAACAGTACCTGGCAAAGAACAATTGATTATTGCTGCATATGCAAAATCCTTCGAAATTATACCAAGACAATTATGTGAAAATGCAGGATTTGATGCAACAAATATTTTAAACAAACTTCGACAAAAACATACTGAAAGTAAAACGAAATTTTTCTTTTGAATTTTGCATCCTAATTCTATTCAATTCGTTGTCACCATAGATAATATTTGGTTTGGTGTTGACATTCTGCACGAAGATGTTAGCGATAATTTAGTTGCCGCTGTTTGGGAACCAGCCGTTGTTAAAATTAATGCTATAACAGCAGCAAGTGAAGCCGCTTGTTTAATATTAAGCGTTGATGAAACAATCAAAGTACCTAAATCATCAGCTGAGCCATCTAATGCTGCTAAAGCTATGAATATGGATTAAAATGAATGAGGAGAATGATGAGAACACTTTCTGTTATCGTTGTTATTGTTATACGGTTGACTCTGTTTTTTTGTTTGTTGGTTTTTTTGTAGGCAACTGTGTGCTGTGTGTTTTCCCCTCTCTTATCCAGCTTCTTGTTCTCCGGATTCTAGTTTGACATACAACACTCCCATGAATTTTTATTCTTTAATACATTATCGAGCAAAACAATAACAATATCGCTGTTAATTGACTGTAGTCACAAAAATAGATGCACTTATGAATCTATTCAATAAATGATTAGAAAGAAAAGTTCACAGAGTTCAATAGAAGTCAGCGCATGAATGCATCACACAATAGTACATCTTCCGATTGATGTATAATGAGAATCGATTGTTTAAACAAACGATATATTGATTGATATAGTAATTATTTAGCATGATGAATTTTTGTTCTATGGTAAATTTCTATTCTTTAGTTAATAGAAAATCCATCGAAACACAATACACATAGGCACTTCAATAGCTAACGATGGGATTCCGAATATGATAGAAATGGCAGAGATCTGGGAATTCTCTCTATCGATCGGTATACTTGGTTGTAATTATATGTTCAATGAATGGATCTTTTTCTCTCCAAAACGTCAGCGATACGAATAGGTATGAATAACACAAATGAAAATATTTCTCGAAAGTACGACTAGGGTAGGATCGCGTCGACTCGGAGCTATGACTATTTTATTGAATTTTGAGATCTTGAAATCAACACATCATGAAGAACTGACCGAAGAGATTGTATGTATCTATCGAATAGATTAACGAATAGAATTCATCGATTGTAGAAGATAATATGTGTAATTCGGCGAATTTCGTCTATAGTTGCCTTGGTTAGGTATGAAGTACTTGTGAGAATGTTTTTAAAGAAAGTGATTATGTCTCTCGAAAATATTTAGCCTCTGAATACACCAGATTACTATGTTCTTCTATGAGAATATCTTGAGAACGATATGTTTATTTTCTTTGTAATTTTCAGCGATGTTTGGTAAACCATTAAGTGTGACTATGAGCAAAATTTACGTCAAAAAAAACTTTGTTTTTACTAAAGCCATCAGTAGACTATGCGCCAGAATCTTTTAAAGCTTCCAATAATCTCTTCAGTACTTAATCCTAGTCCGAATACGAATTCGAACAAAAAAGCACTGAAAATAGTTGACTTGTTATTCCAAAGATCGAATACTTCGATAAATTGTTCATAATACTAATCGAGTATGATGCGATTGTGATTTCATTCTGATCTGATCATATCCTGGCTATAAGTTAAATATGTTATTAAATATTTTGTTTGTTACTAATGAAATTTAAATGTCTTATTGAGATGCCCCGCTTGCAAAAAAACTTTAAGTTTTCTGTATGAAGATTATCATTCGTTCCATCAACTATGTAAAGATATTCTTTATTATTTTTTAAAATTTAAACTCATAACAACGAAAGTAATTCTCACGCGTCGCCTTTCATTCTCAGGTAACTGTTTGTATATTTGAAATGATCAAGCCAAGAAATATTTTATTCATTGATTTCTTTCGTTATGTTTACTATGTAAACTTTAATATAATATTGATAAAGCCTTTTCTTTTTCTCACGAAGAAATTCAACTCGACAATGCGAAGAAAAAAAGATTCTTCTCACTACTAATAATAAACTAATTGAAAACTAAAATAAATTCATGTAACTGTTTATAGCAATCAAGTTGATATATAGCTTTAGCTTCCATTTCTTTCTTTCTTTCTCATTCGTCATAATGAATGATAAGCCGATGAAAAATAACAAAAAAAAAATCTACTGATATCAATGCAACCATGGTGAAGCGATAAAACAAATTAGTTTCTTTTTTTCAAATTTCTTCTTCTTCTAGACACTGCATGTCATGTCGTTTTAGTGACGCCAACTTTTTATTCTTGGTGACATGCGGCGTTATGATATTTGGCAAGAAGAAAAAGAACGATAGCATAAGGAGAAAACGGAAGAACGATGAGTTTTTCATGCGTTTGTATATGAATTCATAATCAGTTGCCGAGAAAATAAAAGAATACAAAGAAACATTTTTTCTTGATAGTATTGAAATGATTATTGCTATCTTATAATTTTTAACTACAATTTGACTGTCAATAAACTCTAAAATAAATGTCTAGTAAAAAAGAAGCTGTGTCATAAAACCCTGTCGAGTTTCATCAATATTAAATGTAAAACTTCAAGGCAAAAAAAAAAGAAAAGAAATTGTAAATACTCATTTTTGTTCTTATTTTATTTTATGTTCCATGTGTTTGTTTTTTATTCCTTTTCTTTCGTTCTTAGTTGCGTGTAATTCTTATTTTATTGTCGCTTACATATAAAACACGAGTTACTCGTTCTCGCTGTTCTCATCGTCTGCAAGACAATCAAAAGAAAGAAAAGCAAAAAAACTGGTGCACACATAACACACGTGAAAATTCTCCCTCTTCCGACACATACAGACGTACGCACACACAATCACTTTCTTCTCCTTTCCTCGTATCTATTTTTTTTGTTTGACACGCACACTGTTTCGTGGCTTTGTGTATGTGTGTCGACGTCTTTTTTTCTCTCTCGATTCTCGAGCGCACATACACACATATATACACATAAGCAAGTCGTCATTTGTATTTTTATGCCCTCTTTTTCTCTCTCCTCATTGCTTGTTGGCGTCGTCCCTCGTTTTTCTTTTTCTTGGGTGTGCGTGGTCCCGTGCGCACGTTCTTCTCTTTCTCCTTCTTCTTCTTTTTCCTTTTTCTTTTTCTTCTACAATGCCAACATCATGAGCGCCGCCCGACCGATCGACAGTCGACAACTACATGCTTTGCGCAGCTGAAAGAATCGAATGGCAGCAGTGGCAGCAGCAGCAAAACTAGAAACAACAACGACAGCAGCAAATTTTCATTCAATCTTCAATAAAATTTAGTTTCATTACTTTCTGTTTTTTTGTGCCCGTGGAGGGGTTGTGCATGTGTATTTGTTCTTTCGTTTTACTTACCCTGCTTCATCTATTCATCCATCATTATTATTATCATTATCATTATCATTCAATATCTTTCTCGAAAAGAATTCTTCACCAATGATGAATATTGAAACGTTGCTACAAGCAGCACAAATATTGGAAAATCAGCAATCAATACCACCGAAAAAACGCTTAGACAGAGGTGAGTAAAACTCAGTTTTTTCCTTTCGCGAGATAGTAGAAAAACGGAAGATATCCATATTATCCATATATATATATATATGTAATGAATGAATCAGACACGTGGCTAACAATCAATTCATGTAAACATATAGAAGATAAAAACAAAAAAGAACAGATAGAGAATATTTTATTTAAAACTATTCCATTTGTTATTTAACGAATAAAGTTTTTGTCGTTGTCGCAGTTTTTTTCTGTTAAATATTTAATCAATAATAGTTTTTTGTTTTCGTGACTATGCATATGATCGATTTTATGATAGTATTTGCCAGCAGTTTTTCGTGCATGCTCGTTGTCAGTATCGACCTATGGTAAGAGTAATAGTTGAAAGCAGGCAAGATTCGCTCATGTGTGACGTACGTCGATTTGAATATCCAATACAGTTTTTTTCTTCTTCTTTTTGTATCGTCGATTACACCCATTTTTAATAATAAGACAAGGACGGGGTTTGTCTTCTTTTATGTTATTTATATATATATATATGAAGTATGCAATACGAATTGATATCATTGATAAGTAAGCTTTTAGTTTGTTAGTTGAATTCTATTTTCTTCTAGAGAAACAGAATGAGAAAAAATATTCGTATTTAGATGTATAAAAAAGAAAGTATAAAGTTGCTCTCGAAAATATTAATCTACAAAAAAAAAAACAGATCGAATTTGTATAGATATTTCTTAGTCGATCGACAAGAAACAGACATATGCATGTGTATGTCATGTTCATTTCCTTTTCCTTCCTTCGTCATCGTTTATCTAACGGTTCGATTATTATTGAGCTGGACAGACGGTCGTACATATATAGTGATTGATTTTGAAAAAAAAATATAGCAAGAGAGAAAAAGAGATCGTCACAAGATACATCCTTATTCCTATCTAAATGACAACTATTTGGTGTTGTATGTTTATTGATTTTTCATTGATTAATGTTCCTATTGAATTTATTTTAGGCGACCGACATACTGCAATTAATAATAACAATAATAATAATGTTCCTACAAGTGTTTTATCTCCAGCCACAATCAATACAAATCCTACAACAACAACAATAACAACAACGACACCGACAACCTTAGTATCATCAACAACATCCTTATTGAAAAATGATCATATCAATGAATATCCTCAAGTCGATCATAATCTAAATTTTCATCATCATAATCATCTTGTTCAACAACGTTTGTCATTAGATCAAAACGATGATGACGATGACGACGATGACGATGATGATGATATGAATAATCAAAATATTAATAGAAAACATGAAATATCAAATCGGTAAGAATAGACTTTTTCTTTAGAATCAACTTTCCATTGAATAAATTTTATTTTATTTTAGTAATCAAACAACTTGCTTTCGTGATCGTGAAATCCACAATCGACTAGAAAAACATCGGTAAGCAGCGCCATCTTTTTTTAATCAAATAAATATGCATAATTGGGTGTTAAGTAAATCTAAATTATTATAATTATATTTATCTCAGAGAAAACGAAAGCATTTAAAATAAAAAATTATCATTGGTTTTATTCTTTATCAAATAAAATGATAGTCAAATATTAGAGCCAGACTAAATATATCGCTATCTTTTTTGTTTTTTTTGTTTCTTATGGTATCTCCAAAAGAGGCTAAAAGGTAGTTTTTGAAAATTAAAATTTTCTAATAAAATAATTATTATTTTCGTCTCTATTTTAGACGAGCTCATTTAAAAGATTGCTTTGATAGTCTCAAAGCAGAAGTTCCATGTCAACGTGATCGGAAAATTACCAATCTTCAAGTACTCAACCTAGCTATTAAATATATTCAGGTATAAAAAAATAAAATTTATTTAAATAACTTCCGAAAAAGATATGACTGTTCATAAATATTTATCTTGAAAAATCCCTCGATAAGTCGTCTGTAGGAGAATGGCGTGTTCGAAATTTCCGTATAACTTGGACGTGTGTTGTGTAATAACAATCGATCGATATCTCTTTTTCAGGTCTTTGAAACGTATTTATATTCATCTCTGATTATTCTTTTAAAGGCAGTTTATAACGTCGAGTCTTAAATGAAAGTTATTTTCTATATAGCTTCATTTGTTATACACGGAGTTATATCCACTGTAACGCTTGTAATGTGAAGCCCTTCAGAATCTTGCTTTATATCTAATAGACATTATTCTCTTCTTACAGAACGTAAGATCCCCTGGAGTATTAAATATTCTTCTTCGTTTACTACAATGTTGAAGATACATATTATAATTCTCTAATGAGCTTGAATCCGATGCTGTGATGATTCTCAATGTTTTCTAGGGTACTGAAAAATATTCCGTAAAGAGAAAAAAACATATATATTTCGATGAATTTATACTGTAATATACGTACATTAATCTATCCTTTACCGACAGTTATATGTTTAGTATTCCCATCAACACAGTAGTATACTATTCGAGTAATATTAATTAAAAAGCAGATTATTGTGTATTTCTATGATATTATTGTTAATGCTACATTTAATTGTATTAAAGGAATTCTTTATTTTGATTATAAAAATAAAGTAGAGAATCCGATCATCTCAAGTGTCCTACCAAATCTTCTATCGCTGCTCTACTTGATTTTGTATTAAAAAAAAAACAGTTCCATTTTATTTGTTTAGACTTTAACACGAAAAGAACGTGAATATGAACAAGAAATTGCCTCGTTAACATCCCGTAGTATTGAACTACAAGATCGTCTTGGTTGTCTTAAAACTGAATTAAATTCCGAAGGACATAATGTTGACACATGGCTTGACACATGTTCTGATATTGATTATTCAACATCAACACGTACAGCTTCTGAAGCTGAAATGTATCGAACATTAGATGAAGATGATGATGAACTTGATCATAGCTCTCACCTAAATAAAAAACCTATTGATGTAATAGTCAATCACAACCTTCATGGAATAAAAACAAATTCATGTAATTATATTTTTCATCATTATCTCTTATAGGATTCTTATTGTTTTTTCCTTCTTCTGTAGATTCAATCGATCCAAAAACTATAGTGAATAATCGTAAATCAACAATACGTCAAAGGCCAAGACCATCAAAACGAAAATTACAATCAATTCCAACTACGAATCTTTTACAAACATTATCAACTTCATTACCAATTAATAATAATACCAATACTACTACTACTACTAATAATAATAATAATAATACATCTCGTTCTGAAAATTTACTTGATTTTAACGTTGCAAGACATCTTCATCTTAATGAACCATGTAACTTATTAACAAATATTAATTCACGAACAAAAGATACATTATCTTTAACGACTATAACGGATATTCGATATGATATTGTTGATATGTTTACGAAAGGTACAACTTCACATTTGCAACAACAACAGCAGCAGCAGCAACAGATTTCACCATTACCGTCCATTGCGAGTCTTATGAATAGACATTCATCGCAGCCCTCACCGATTGTTTCACCTACAAAACAAACTATTGGTATTAATACAGATCCGTTAACAACATCAACAACCAATATTCTTCATCAATCTGTTGCAACATCGTGATGATGTTATATTATTTTCCTTCTTCTGTGCTTCTTTCTTTTTCTTTTGTTTTTTTCTTCTTGGCTTGTCTTCTAATGTTTTAATGCCTTTTTCTTTCGTTTTCTTTTTCAAGTATATCAGTGAGCCATCAGAAAAATAAAATGAACTGTAATTATATAGCAAACAAGAACAGATTAAAATCGATTTATTTTATTTATGCATTATTCTATGAAATACCAATGTAAGAAGAACTTGCAAAAAATAGATGAGAATAATAATAATAATAATAATAAAATATGCACTAGCCGGGAATCGGACCCGGGTCGCCCGCGTGGCAGGCGAGCATTCTACCACTGAACCACCAGTGCTTGATATTGGGTCATATTTATTTCCCTATCTATACAAAATTAGAAAGAAGAACATAACGAATCGATGAAATATAACAAAATTATTTTTACTAGAATTCGTTAAAAGGTTCGCGCGAGGCGAACTTCGAGTAAAATTTTTAATTTTCGTCTTTTATACCTCATCTGATAGAGAATTTTACGGCGATTACGAATATATGTTGTTTGAGTTATTTCGATGGTTTCTTTAGTTAGAAAAATTGAATTTCTGAATCAACTTAGATACTCGGAAAGGTCATATTTTTGTTCATCTAGAAAAACTGAATCAGAAAATATCTTTAAAATTGTTTTTGACCTAAAGCGTTGCCCCTCAAGGTCTCTAGAAGCGCGATTTGCAAAGCCCAGAAGTTAATTTTTAAAAACTTTTCCTGATGCGTTAGAATCGATTTTATGGCATGGTTCGATTCGCCAGATGCTCCTCTTCAAAAGTATACGAGTAGTTTTTCGAAACTGTTTTTCTTCGTGGAGAAAATTGATTAGATACATTCCGAGAATATCCTCGGAAACTCGATTAAGTGCTAGGGAACCAAACCTAGCAGATATAACAGACGTAGAGATATACAGCATATAGGGGGTCTAGGGAGTACAGGAGTTATAGGGGATATAGGAGTGATAGGAGATTGATAAACAACGAGCAAGGCTCAAAAAATAAATATTGATAAGCAACGAGCAAGATTCAACAAATAAATATTGATATCAG